TCTCTGTAAACCGCTTAGAGAGGCCTGAAAGGCCTATGAAGCGGTATATAATTCTCCTTTATTGCTATTACTTTAGCAAGGCATTCAACAAGGTAGACCACAACCTACTTCTTGGTAAGCTAGAAAAAAGTGGGATAAATAGCATCACCATCAGTTGGATTTTTAACTGGCTGACATGAAATAGCAATAAAGGAGAATGTTTATTTGTAGCTCAGGGTTGAAATGAGATGTCCTTGATGTTCTCTGAGCTTGGTTGATTTCTTGCAGACCTCCAACATTGCTCCAGGACTAGCCACCAGAATATAAATTGAGAGCAAACCCCATTCCTTACTAGTACTGATGATGTCAGTTTGGAGCATGAAATGTCTGCAAGAAAACAGCCAAACTCAGAGAGCACCAAGGACCACTCATACACAAAATATTCAAAATGTCAATAGCCCACCACTAGCCCTGGTGACACAGTGGTTCAAATGCAGCATTGGAGGCCTATTCTGCTCACAGTCTGGAGTTCGATCCTGATCAGTTCAAGGTTGACTCTGCCTTACATCCTTCCAAGCTGGGTAAATGAGGATCCAGGTTGTTGGGGGCAATACTCTGACCCTGTAAACCACTTAGAAAGGGCTGTAAAAGCACTGTGTGGAGCGGTATATAAGTCTAAGTGCTATTGCTATTAGGAGGCAACGATCTTCATCTGACTATACATTTTCAACAGATGCAAGAACTGTCCAGAAGAATATATTTACTCGATATTATACAATACACAGAGATGCGGTGGCTCAGTGGCTAAGATGCTGAGGTTGTTGATCAGATAGGTTGACAGTTCAAACCCCTAGTGCTGCGTAATGGAGTGAGCTCCTGTTACTCATCCCAGCTTCTGCCAACCTAGCAGTTCGAAAACATGTAAAAATGCAAGTAGAAAAATAGGAACCACCTTTGGTGGGAAGGTAACAGCGTTCCGTGAGTCTTCGATGTTTAGTCATGCCGGCCACATGACCACAGAGACGTATTTGGATAGTGCTAACTCTTCGGCTTTGAAACAGAGATGAGCAGCACCCCCTAGAGTCGGGAATGACTAGCACATATGTGTGAGGGGAACCTTTACCTTTTCACTTATTTACCCAATTAAAATTTAAAGAATGATTGTTTACTATTTATTGGAAAGGTGAAGTGCACATAATACATGAAGATGGAGAAATGAAAAACAACTCAAATGCATCCATTAAACAATATCAGGCTGTTTAATTTTGTACAGTTAAAATGTGTAAACATTTATCCATCCTTTGGGTTGCAAAGAAATTTTTCAAATTGTGAAAATGATTTTAGAGTCTGAGAAGATACGCCTTGCAACTACCAAGTTTTCCTAGCACTCTTTTCATTTTGGAAGTTGGCTACTACCTCTGGCAAACTATGGCACCTATCACTCCAGACACAATTGGGAACACCTGGCTGTATTTGTGCACGTGTGAGTGTCTGTGCATAGAGGTAGTCCTCAAGGTGCGGCCACAATTGAGCCCAACGTTTATGTTGCTAAGTGAGAACTTTGTTAAGTGAGTTTTGACTCATTTTACAGCCTGTCTTGGCACAGTTGTTAAGTAAAATCACTGCAGTTAGATTAGTGACCTGGTGGTGAAGTGAAACTGGATTCCCTGTTGACTTTGCTTGTCGGAAGGTCGCAAAAGGGGGTCACGCAACCCCTGGACACTGCTACAGTCATAAATATGAGTCAGTTGTCAAGCATCGAAATTTTGATCACGTAATCATGGGGATGCTGCAACTGATAAATGTGAAAAATGGTCATAAGTCACTTTTCTCAGTGCTATTGTAACTTCAAACAGTCACTAAGTCAAGGGTGAAATTCAGCAGGTTCTGACAGGTTCTGGAGAACCAGTAGCGGAAATTTTGAGTAGCAAATGCCACCTCTGGCTGGCCCCAGAGTGGAGACGGAATGGAGATTTTGCAGTATCATTCCCCTGCCACGCCCACCAAGCCACCCCCACCAAGCCACCCCCACAGAACCGATAGTAAAAAGGGAACTGTTGTAAGTCCTATTGCCTCCATTCAGACAACACAAGGAGATGGTTGGCTATTGCCTTATTTTCATTATTTTTTTCTAAATTCCTGTAAAGATGACCATCCTAAGCTTCTTTGTTGTCCACCAAGTCCATCCCTCTGAGCTTCTCAAGATGAACCTCCGCGTTCTCACCATATAAAAAATACCCATATATGTTTTTCATGGCAATAATACCGGAGCCAATCTCCATGGCATATTGTGGGGACTTTGTTATAAAATTGAATTCCCATCTAATCTGAGATTTCCTGGTGGTCTCCCAGTCCAACTCCATTTGGCTTTTCAAGATGAGCTGAGACTGACCTTGGTGCTTCCATTTAGCTGTGAGAAAGTAGATCTCCGTCCTAATGATGACAAATGCTTGCCATTCACTCACAAATACGGGTTTTTCCTCCCCACCAGCAAATCATTCATTTCTTTAGATTTTCAAGAGTTTCCTATTTTACGTTTATTTTTGTTTATTGAAAGCAGTGGTGGGATTTAGTCTGAACTGGCTGAATACCACCTCTGATGGAAAGGCACATTGAACCCATAGGATTCTTTTATGCTGAGAAACTGACTGGTCACTTGAAAGAAAAGGCTTGTGGATTTTCATGAAGGAAGGTTTGAAAAACCTACAGAATGTTTTGGTTAAAAAATAATAATAAAACCTTGAGGAGAATTTATTTGTTTTTCTCTTTTTTTTTTCAACCAGTAATTCCATCAAGTTAGTGAATCTATGCTCGATATTTATTAGCACATGGCTGACAGCAGCTGGATTTATACATTTGGTAAGTATGCTCAAAAAGGCTTATTTGGGGGGGTTTAGAATTATTATGAGCTAATCCGGCTATGGATAATTTTAAAAAAATGCACTATGTATTTTCAGTGGGAACACACTTTGCAAAGAGTTTCGTGGCTTGCTTAATCTAGTGAAGCAACTCCCAATGTGTTGCTGTTCAGAATAAAAATAATAGATCAGGGAACCTCATATTCAGGAATTTTAAGCTATGAGGACTTCAACTCCCAGAATTCCCTAGCCATCATGCATGGCTGGGGAATTCTGGGAGTTGGAAGCCCTGTAGCTTAAAATTGCTGAGGTTGAGAAACACTGTAACTGAGAATTCCTCTCAGTCATACAGTACGTCATTTTAAAAGATTTTTAATGCAGGATTCCTGCGTTTCTCTTAAATATTATCAGTAAATCTTGTATCTCACAGAGAAATTCTTCCTAGAGGAAAAAAGGAGAAAACAGCATGAAAAAAACCCCAGATTTTGTTAATGGCTTTGGCTGAAAGTGGAAGAGAAAGCTAGGAGTTTGGGGGTCTAATTTTGAGATTCTGGAGAACTTTGACTGAATTTGACAATAACAACAACAAGCCACTAAGTGGCAGTGTGGGTTTAGAAACAAAAACATAAAATGTGGCAGCAGATACAAGACAACTTCCTGTAAAAAATGAAAAGTTATATATTATTAAGACTCACAGTCTATGGATGTACACAAAGCTCATTTTCTCAGTGTAGACTGTTGCCTGCTTGAATTAAAATAAACTTAACACATCCTCTCCTTCTTTAAAGATTAGATTTCCAATATGTTTCTGAACTACTCTTTGGAAATAGATCCTAACAGATTCCTGATTTGGGGGGGATCAATTCACATTTTTCTCCTTTATGTGTTGAAACATGGTCTTGAGTAACAGTTATTGGGGTAGCTACTTGCTGCTACAATAGGGAGGAATTTTGTGAGTCTTGGTGACTATTTCCAAGTGTAGTTCAGCACTAAATTTTGTGGATAGGATTCCAGTAGGTGGACCACCCAAAAACAGAGGACATAGAATAATAGGGTTGGAAGGGACCTTGGAGGTCTTCTGGTCCAGCTCCCTGCTCAGGCAGGAGACCCTATATCATTCCAGACAAATGGCTATCCAATCTGTTCTTGAAAACCTCCAGTGAAGGAGAACCCAGAACCTCTGAATGCAAGGTGTTCCACTGGTTAATTGTCCTCACTGTTAGGAAGTTTCTCCTTAGTTCTAGGTTGGATCTCTCTTTGATAGGTTTCCATCCATTGCTTTTTGTCCTGCTCTGGGATGCTTTGGAGAATAGGTTGACACCCTCCTCTCTAGGACAGCCCCACGATTTTTGGAAGACTACTATCATGTCACCCCTAGTTCTATTACAACCATATGATTAAAGCCCAGTTTCATGGCTATAGGTTCCATCTTGACTTTCTTGAAAACCCATATTAGAACCCACCATTACATGGATTCTTAAGTGTCAGATATATTTAAACGTAGTTGTATATTTCTAATGAAGTCATTGTTTATCAGTTATTAGACTATCCTTCTAGGTCAGTGTTGGCGAACCTTTTTGGCACCAAGTGCCGAAACAGGAGCGCGCACACAGGGAAGCACTAGAAACCAAAAGAGCAACTCGCCGGCGCAGGTGCAGGGGAGCACCAGAAACTGGAAGAGCTGAGCTTCCGGTTTCTAGCATGCGCATGTGTGCCGGTCACCTGATTTTCTGGTTTTTGTTGCGCATACACGGGCGAAGAACAGCTGACCAGCAGCAATGGGCATGCCGGAAACCAGAAGTTCAGCTTCCTGGCACTTGCATGCATGCGAGGGATCTGCTCTTCCAGTTTCCAGAACCCGGAAGAACAATGGGTGGCGGCTGGCATGCCCAGAAAGATGGCTCTGCGTGCCACTTCCGGAACACATGCCATAGGTTCACCATCTCTGTTCTAGGTGGTGAACATGTTATTTTCTTCTCTATAACAATGCATACTATTTTCGGATGATTCCCACCTTTTTTTTTCCCCTCAACAGGATTCCGTATTTGGAACATGCCAACTTCTATATAACCTCACTGATTTGATATAAAGAAAATGACTTCTTTTGTCGCAGTCCATTGAGTTGTTGTTTAAAAAGAGTTTTATTTTTCTTTCTCATATGTGCATTCACAAATATACATTCTCATTGTTGTGTATATGCTATCCTTTAACATTGATCACAATTTGTTTAAAAAATAAAATATATAATCAGGGGTCGCTTTCCCGCCACCCTGTACATCCATCTTATTTTACAACAACCCTACTACTTCCTCAGTCCTCGCAACTTCCCTTCTCCGCCTTCTTCTTTCCGCCCCTCCTTCCTCTTTTCTTCCTCCCCTCCCTCTCCCCCACTCATCCTCTCTTCTTCCCCTTCCTACCCTCTCTCCTACTCTTACTACCCCTCCCTTACTTCCTCTCCTTTCCCCTTTCTTCTTTCCCTCTCTTTTCTCTCACCTTCCGTTGTTGTAGTTGCTTATTTTCTTCTTCACTCTGATGGATTTTCGGGGTGAAATTCAAGGTTCCATACACATAAAAATAAATTCCCACTTCCACATTTCATTTTCATTATAATATTTCCACATATAATCATCTTTTAACTCTATATTTGTATATTAATACTTTTCTGTTTTTTTTTCCTTCCCCTCCCCTTAGTTTAATAGTGTGTCGTCCATTGAGTTGGTTAAGGTTAAGATCGCTCCACTTCATTAGCACTGTATGAGATGTTACTGATACTCCCTGGCTGAAAAAAAAGAGTATTTGGTATCAACCATTCAATGAGATCATATCTGCATTGCATTTTTTTTTCTCCTTGAAGTTTACTAATGATGTACTAATCCGTTTGTGAATGGGAGCATTGCATTGCAGACAATGACACGTTCAATTTGCTGCTGTCCTTTTTGTTGTAGGTGGAGAACTCAGGGGATCCATGGGAAAACTTCCAAAATAACCAACCACTTACCTATTGGGAATGTGTTTATTTGCTAATGGTTACTATGTCCACTGTTGGCTACGGAGATGTTTATGCAAAAACAACCCTTGGTCGTCTTTTCATGGTTTTCTTCATCCTCGGGGGATTGGTAAAACATTTATGTTTATATTCTGCCTATATATATATATTTTAACGTAACAATTATATCGTAACTTATGACTTCAAAATACATATCCCCTTGTATTGCATTTTGAAGAGCTAGTTACTGAACTAAAATAATAGGGCAATGGCGTGTTTACGGATGTACTGTTTGCAGAGATAGTAAGGATAGGAAGCATTTGAAGAATTAAAAGCTTGAAGCAATGAGGAGGAGGCTGGGCACACTTTGAAAATCCTTCAGGAACACTGCTGGTCTTCACAACAAGCCCAGCTTCTCTCCGCCAATAGGCTGGTCATCAGACAAGTCTATTGAATAGCAATTGCTTGATTGAGTCCTCTTGCAACCTTATCAATAAAACAAAATATACAATAGGTCGTCCTTCACATACGACGACACTTGAGCCCATTGTTAAGCACGGCAGTCTGGGTCAGGTCCTCTTTTAGGATAACATCCAGAAACTTAAAACTGACCACTTGCTCTACTCAGTCTCCATTGATAAGCAAGAGCTGGATGTCTGATCTAGTCCTTCTATAGTCCAGTATAAGCTCCAAGTTATTGTCTCTGCACCACCTTTTCTGAAGCTCGGCTGATTTTCCCCAAACGGAAAATAAAATGGAAAGTAAGTAAGTTAGCTTTGATGAAAAGCGGGGAAAGGTTGGACTTGAAGGCTGAATTATGCCAGTGAAATTGTTTTGAAAGTGTGCACAGACTCCATGCCTAAGCGGTTAACATTGGACTGCTGATAACAGTCCGGGTGAAATTAGTTGCGGTTTCAAGACCTTCCCTTTTGTGTTCCTTCCCAACATTCCAACAAACACTGTGGTTTAGGATCCTCCTTAAAAGAGCTGTTGCCAGGATTTCCATTTTTATGGCTAGCGGGAAACGTGAGTTCACATCCTTCCAAATAGTAACCAAGGGTGAGGCTGAAGTCGACAGTCATTACAAATTTCCCAACAGATTGGCAAAGAATGCTCCCTATGAGAGAGAGAGAGAGAGAGAGAGAGAGAGAGAGTGAGAGAGAGATAGAGAGAGAGAGAGAGAGAGAGA